CGCCCCGGTTCTGCGCCCGAAAGGCTGGTGGAGGGGGGGAGAAGGGGGGAGACACGGGGGGGTGAGCGGGGCCAGCCCTGGCACAGGTGAGTCACTCCCCGTCCAGACCCGGAGCTGCTCCTCGGAGCTTCCTGGTGTCTCTTCCGCTGGGATCCACGTGCGGTGGGAGATGGACCCGAGGGGAAGGTCCCCCCAGGCTCAGGCCGGAGGTTTCAGTTCTGCTTCTCCGCGTTGTGCAGCCTGGGAGCTGGTTTTCAGTTTCTTTTAACCACTTTTGGAGAGAAACTCTGCAGATTTGGTGCTTTTACCATTTCTTTCACCACCTTGGGTGGGGGTCTCCCAGGCCGGAGAAGCGAGCAGGAGCTGCTGCTGCAGGGAAGGAAGGGGGAACCTCTGGGATTCATGGAAGGCGGCCAAGCTCCCCGCACTCGCGGCTGGACTTGGCCAAGGTTCAGAAGGATCCCACCGTCAATATTCCATTCCTACTTCCATTTCCCTCTCCCTAAAACCCAGTTTGCAGATGGGTCCCATGTGTGGGACCTGGCAAAGGGGATGTCACCGGAGAGAGCGGAGAGGGTTTGGAAAAGGGGAGTTTGCACCCCGACACCCCGTCAGTGCAACCAGGGAGCAGGCAGCCTGGATTTATCCTCAGGAATTAGCACTCATCAAGCAGGAAAGCTGGAGTCTGCTCCCGGGCGGGATAACTGGGAGCCCTTCCGGTGGTTTTTCCTTGGAGTTGTGGGGTAATTGGAGCCAGGGTTTTACGTCAGCTCATCAATAGAGATGAGGTCCAGCCCTAGAGCCCGATTTTTATCTCCTTTATGCTCCCTCCAGGCAGGCACAAGCCCGGTCCCCTCTGCAGAGTCCCTGCGGAGCGGGGACCAAGAGGAGGTCGGTGTTCGGGGAAATCACACTCTGGGTTCACCACCGGCACCGGCTGTTTGGCCGACACCTTTAATCTTGTGGAAATACGTGTCCAGGAGTTGTTTTAAATATAAAAACCAACTCGTTGATGGTCGTGAAGTAGCTGAAGCCCGGATGCGTCGGAGCGGGAGCGAGCTGCTGCCGGCCGGAGATAAGGCGCCGGGCTCCTGGGAAGCGAGGCGGCCGCCTGAACCCACGTTTGTGCTTGCAGGTGCCGGTGACGTTTGATGACGTGTCCGTGTATTTCAACGACAAGGAATGGGAGAAGCTGGAGGAGTGGCAGAAGGAGCTGTACAAGAACGTGATGAAGGGGAACTATGAGTCGCTGATCTCCCTGGGTAAATATGGGGTGTCCTCGCCCCGGGGAAGGCAGGTTCTCCGGAGCTCCTGGCTCTCTCCGCAGGCTTGGGCATCTTCCTGACTCCTCCTTGGAGATCCGCTTGGATCCCCTTGAGACCCAAATGTCCCATTTAAAATGGAAACTGTAAACCACAGGAGGATGGTTCTAATCCTCCCTGTTGCTTCCTGGTGTTGGGTGAGGCTCCAGTGTCGCCCGGGTTCAGTCCCAGCGCGGGGCAAGGTGCTGTCCTGGTTGGGTGGGGGTCACCCGTGGGTGGGCTGGAGACCTCCTGAAGCCCCTTCCAGCCAGAGTTACTCGGAGAACCAGCTGTTGGAAGGGCTTCCCTTCATCCTCCGGGTCTGCGGCGGGTACCAGCCCACGCGCCCACTTGGAAGAAACTTTTGTGGAGGGAAGTACGTTCCTACGTGGTCTTTGGGGCTTTTCCT